GGCAGTGTTGAGTCTATGGGGCAGTGCTGAGTGTATGGGCAGTGTTGGTCTATGGGTAGTGTTGGTCTATGGTTAGTGTTGAGTCTATGGGCAGTGTTGAGTCTATGGGCAGTGTTGAGTCTATGGGGCAGTGCTGAGTCCATGGGGCAGTGCTGAGTCTATGGGCAGTGTTGGTCTCTATGGGTAGTGTTGGTCTATGGGCAGTGTTGAGTCTATGGGTAGTGTTGGTCTATGGGCAGTGTTGAGTCTGGGCAGTGTTGAGTATGGGCAGTGTTGGTCTATGGGCAGTGTTGGTCTATGGGCAGTGTTGGTCTATGGGCAGTGTTGAGTCTATGGGGCAGCGCTGAGTCTATGGGCAGTGTTGAGTCTATGGGGCAGTGCTGAGTCTATGGGCAGTGTTGAGTCTATGGGCAATATTGGTCTATGGGCAGTGTTGGTCTATGGGCAGTGTTGAGTCTATGGGCAGTGTTGGTCTATGGGCAGTGTTAGTCTATGGGTAGTATTGAGTCTATGGGCAGTGTTGGTCTATGGGCAGTGTTGAGTCTATGGGCAGTGTTGGTCTATGGGCAGTGTTGAGTATATGGGGCAGTGCTGAGTCTATGGGCAGTGTTGAGTCTATGGGCAGTCTATGGGCAGTGTTGAGTCTATGGGTAGTGTTGGTCTATGGGCAGTGTTGAGTCTATGGGCAATGTTGGTCTATGGGCAGTGTTGGTCTATGGGCGGTGTTGGTCTATGGGCAGTGTTAGTCTATGGGTAGTGTTGAGTCTATGGGCAGTGTTGAGTCTATGGGCAGTGTTGGTCTATGGGCAGTGTTGGTCTATGGGTAGTGTTGAGTCTATGGGGCAGTGCTGAGTCCATGGGGCAGTGCTGAGTCCATGGGGCAGTGCTGAGTCTATGGGCAGTGTTGAGTCTATGGGTAGTGTTGGTCTATGGGCAGTGTTGAGTCTGGGCAGTGTTGAGTATGGGCAGTGTTGGTCTATGGGCAGTGTTGGTCTATGGGCAGTGTTGGTCTATGGGCAGTGTTGAGTCTATGGGGCAGCGCTGAGTCTATGGGCAGTGTTGAGTCTATGGGGCAGTGCTGAGTCTATGGGCAGTGTTGAGTCTATGGGCAATATTGGTCTATGGGCAGTGTTGGTCTATGGGCAGTGTTGAGTCTATGGGCAGTGTTGGTCTATGGGCAGTGTTAGTCTATGGGTAGTATTGAGTCTATGGGCAGTGTTGGTCTATGGGCAGTGTTGAGTCTATGGGCAGTGTTGGTCTATGGGCAGTGTTGAGTCTATGGGGCAGTGCTGAGTCTATGGGCAGTGTTGAGTCTATGGGCAGTCTATGGGCAGTGTTGAGTCTATGGGGCAGCGCTGAGTCTATGGGGCAGTGCTGAGTCTATGGGCAGTGTTGAGTCTATGGGTAGTGTTGGTCTATGGGCAGTGTTGAGTCTATGGGCAATGTTGGTCTATGGGCAGTGTTGGTCTATGGGCAGTGTTAGTCTATGGGTAGTGTTGAGTCTATGGGCAGTGTTGAGTCTATGGGCAGTGTTGGTCTATGGGCAGTGTTGGTCTATGGGTAGTGTTGAGTCTATGGGGCAGTGCTGAGTCCATGGGGCAGTGCTGAGTCCATGGGGCAGTGCTGAGTCCATGGGGCAGTGCTGAGTCTATGGGCAGCGTTGAGTCTATGGGTAGTGTTGGTCTATGGCCAGTGTTGAGTCTATGGGCAGTGTTGGTCTATGGGCAGTGTTGAGTCTATGGGCAGTGTTGGTCTATGGGTAGTGTTGAGTCTATGGGGCAGTGCTGAGTCCATGGGGCAGTGCTGAGTCCATGGGGCAGTGCTGAGTCTATGGGCAGTGTTGAGTCTATGGGCAGTGTTGGTCTATGGGCAGTGTTGGTCTATGGGTAGTGTTGAGTCTATGGGGCAGTGCTGAGTCCATGGGGCAGTGCTGAGTCCATGGGGCAGTGCTGAGTCTATGGGCAGTGTTGAGTCTATGGGTAGTGTTGGTCTATGGGCAGTGTTGAGTCTATGGGCAGTGTTGGTCTATGGGCAGTGTTGAGTCTATGGGCAGTGTTGGTCTATGGGCAGTGTTGGTCTATGGGCAGTGTTGGTCTATGGGCAGTGTTGAGTCTATGGGCAGTGTTGGTCTATGGGTAGTGTTGGTCTATGGGCAGTGTTGGTCTATGGGCAGTGTTGGTCTATGGGCAGTGTTGAGTCTATGGGCAGTGTTGGTCTATGGGCAGTGTTAGTCTATGGGTAGTGTTGAGTCTATGGGCAGTGTTGGTCTATGGGCAGTGTTGAGTCTATGGGGCAGCGCTGAGTCTATGGGCAGTGTTGAGTCTATGGGGCAGTGCTGAGTGTATGGGCAGTGTTGAGTCTATGGGTAGTGTTGGTCTATGGGCAGTGTTGAGTCTATGGGCAGTGTTGAGTCTATGGGGCAGTGCTGAGTGTATGGGCAGTGTTGGTCTATGGGTAGTGTTGGTCTATGGTTAGTGTTGAGTCTATGGGCAGTGTTGAGTCTATGGGCAGTGTTGAGTCTATGGGGCAGTGCTGAGTCCATGGGGCAGTGCTGAGTCTATGGGCAGTGTTGGTCTCTATGGGTAGTGTTGGTCTATGGGCAGTGTTGAGTCTATGGGTAGTGTTGGTCTATGGGCAGTGTTGAGTCTGGGCAGTGTTGAGTATGGGCAGTGTTGGTCTATGGGCAGTGTTGGTCTATGGGCAGTGTTGGTCTATGGGCAGTGTTGGTCTATGGGCAGTGTTGAGTCTATGGGGCAGCGCTGAGTCTATGGGCAGTGTTGAGTCTATGGGGCAGTGCTGAGTCTATGGGCAGTGTTGAGTCTATGGGCAATATTGGTCTATGGGCAGTGTTGGTCTATGGGCAGTGTTGAGTCTATGGGCAGTGTTGGTCTATGGGCAGTGTTAGTCTATGGGTAGTATTGAGTCTATGGGCAGTGTTGGTCTATGGGCAGTGTTGAGTCTATGGGCAGTGTTGGTCTATGGGCAGTGTTGAGTATATGGGGCAGTGCTGAGTCTATGGGCAGTGTTGAGTCTATGGGCAGTCTATGGGCAGTGTTGAGTCTATGGGTAGTGTTGGTCTATGGGCAGTGTTGAGTCTATGGGCAATGTTGGTCTATGGGCAGTGTTGGTCTATGGGCGGTGTTGGTCTATGGGCAGTGTTAGTCTATGGGTAGTGTTGAGTCTATGGGCAGTGTTGAGTCTATGGGCAGTGTTGGTCTATGGGCAGTGTTGGTCTATGGGTAGTGTTGAGTCTATGGGGCAGTGCTGAGTCCATGGGGCAGTGCTGAGTCCATGGGGCAGTGCTGAGTCCATGGGGCAGTGCTGAGTCTATGGGCAGCGTTGAGTCTATGGGTAGTGTTGGTCTATGGCCAGTGTTGAGTCTATGGGCAGTGTTGGTCTATGGGCAGTGTTGAGTCTATGGGCAGTGTTGGTCTATGGGCAGTGTTGGTCTATGGGCAGTGTTGAGTCTATGGGCAGTGTTGGTCTATGGGTAGTGTTGGTCTATGGGCAGTGTTGGTCTATGGGCAGTGTTGGTCTATGGGCAGTGTTGGTCTATGGGCAGTGTTAGTCTATGGGTAGTGTTGAGTCTATGGGCAGTGTTGGTCTATGGGCAGTCTATGGGCAGTGTTGAGTCTATGGGGCAGCGCTGAGTCTATGGGCAGTGTTGAGTCTATGGGGCAGTGCTGAGTGTATGGGCAGTGTTGAGTCTATGGGTAGTGTTGGTCTATGGGCAGTGTTGAGTCTATGGGCAGTGTTGGTCTATGGGCAGTGTTAGTCTATGGGTAGTGTTGAGTCTATGGGCAGTGTTGGTCTATGGGCAGTGTTAGTCTATGGGCAGAATGCATGTATGTTGACCTTTCGCACCGTACGTAGCCAGCCGTGCTTATCGGATGTTGTCTGACGTGAGTTCTGAATACATGAGTTTGTCAATCTAGATGATTCTAAAAAGTTGCATAACCTCCCAGTGGCTTTCTTATATCGGAAGGAAAGAGCGTTCCAGGCGGCCCACAGAAAGCGCCACGCAATGCAGCGGTGACTGCAGTCTTTGTTTGATGCCTGCAGACAGAAGCCGCTGCTGCTGTGAGAATGACCGCCGGAGTTCGTATGACGATGGTTTATGGCTCCTTGACAAGAGCAGTGTGGGCGCCTCGATTCGATCTCCCGATGCGGCAGTTGAAATGTAATTCGTATGTATTTATGTATATACTGGACGTTGAACTCCATTCGCACCGTACGTAGCCAACTGCTAATAGGTGGTGCGGGAAGGACAACAAACTAAACACTAAAAGCAGTTAGAAAGAAATGGGTTTTTCCATCCAGATGATGATTTTTCAAAGTTGCATAGCTCCCAGTAGCTTCCTAATATCAGAAGAGCGTTCCAGACGAACACATCATCATCACCGTCAACACCTTCCACTTCATCATGCAGCTACCTCCCCAATGTCGCCACCACCATCATGTATGTATGTATGTTGAATTTCTTTTGTACCGTACGTAGCCAACCGTGCTAATTGGAGGTGCAGTGTTGAGTCTATGGGGAAGTGTTGAGTCTATGCTAGTGTTAGTCTATGGACAGTATGTATGTAAAACTTCTTCCGCACCGTACGTAGTCAACCGTGCTAATCGGAGGCGCGGGGGACGACGACAACAAAATAAAACACAAAAAGCAGTTTTAAAGTATTGAGTTTTTCAATCCGGATGATTTAAAAGTAAACAGCTCCAGTGGCTTCCTTATATCTGAAGGAAAAAAGAGCGTTCCAGACGGCCGCAGCACATCTGAAAGCGCCGCGGCGATGCGGTGGCCATCGTTGTTCGATGACTAACCAAAAGCCGCCCCATGGGTCACCGCATGGTGGTCACTGTGATGACCCCACCTGGCCCAGCAGCTCCCAGGGGCAATCTGGGCCTGAGCCACTCGTGGACTTTCGCTTTATATCTATTTGTTCTTTGCTCTAATTTGATTTTGGCTCCGATGCCCATTTGCTTAATTATTTTGTACGCGTCTTGAAGGGACTGCTCCCGCCATTTCGGATCCCTCAGGTGGTCACTCTTCAGAATGAAGGCCGGCATTGTGGCACACAAGGGAGTGGGTGTTAAGCGACATGCACTGCTGCCTAGAGACCACATACTCACGGACACCCGCAGACTCGCAGAGACCTTATGACCGCCTCTGAAGTTAATATTCTTACCGTTTGTCTAAGCGTCTTGAGATGCGGTCGCATTTGGGGGTTTCTCTATAAGCCCCATGGCATATTGTTCAGACAGCACCGTGCAGTATAAAAAATATACGTGGTACAAGAAAACATTTGTTCAGTGATCACAGTAGAGGCGCAGCCCTTGCAATTGCTCGTCAATACCACTGATAGCAGAATCGGCTCCACTGGAGGGAGCCTGAAGGAAGCTCATCTACAGAGGTGAGCTGCCTTAGGGCGGCAACAACCGCCATTCGCCAGTAAATGTAAATGGCGGTAACGTCACCACGGCGCTTACGCCTCTCGAGTTCCCAACAGTGTCAAACGAAAAAAAATAAAATCTGACATGCAATCCGAGGACCGTGCGGATCAGGGTTCTTCAACTGGCGGACAATCTCAGTGGGACGGCCGGACGAGATGAAGTGGATACGGACAAAAGATACACGTGTGAAAAAAATAAGAATGGGTTCTATCCTTTCTGGCAATAAAGCAGGCGTTAAAATGTTCAAACACCAAATAGAAACCTTTTGCAAGGAATCATGTCTGCATTAACCACACGTATATGCAAACAAAACATGCTTTGATAAATGCGCTGTCTTAACATCTTAACACTAGTTTTATTGTCAGAAAGAGTAAAACCAACTCTTATTTTTTCATATTGGGAAAAAAGTTCCCATGTTAAAAGATACATGGTTGGCTACGCGGGTGGCGTGAAATAAATTCAACCTATGTACATAAACTAAAAGCTATTAAACAAGTTTTTATTTTTACCAGTTAAGGCGCACCGAGTTGTGCAAGTTATTTTTCAGAAGCGACCTGGCCATCACAAATGATAGCTCGACAAAGTGGCTTATCATCGTGTGTAAATTTATAGCAAATACTTGAAACGCGTGTTTCGAAACGTGGAGGGAAAATCCGGAGGACCCGGAGAAAAATCCACGCGACCACAACGAGAGACAGACACGCAAACTCCAAATATATACAGCAGGCGTCAGGGTCAGGATCGAACCCACGACCTCCTGGATACCAGGCGAGGTAGTTAGCATCTCGCCAAGAGATAGGGAATGACAGCGCTGCAGAGGGAAGAGGAAAGTGATGAGAGAACAAGACGAGAAGAAACCTAAAGGCGAGGATGTGATTAGTGGGTTGCGTGTGCATGCACACGCGTGCAACGTGACATCACGGCGCCAGGTGATGACATCACAACACTGTCACGTGACCTGCCCGCATGCGATCTTTCTATTGCGTGGCTCGCCAGGAATGTGTGGACCGTGGCATTGCAGCCCAGGAGTGAGGGCGGAGGAAGACTCTGTCCCGGAGCGACGCCGATAGTTGGGCCTGTCCCCTGTCCGCCAGCAGATCACCTGCAGGCAGAATCAGAGCAGCTCGCGAGTGTGCAAGGCTATCGTGAAGTCGCCACTGGTGGCGGGATGTTAAGTCCCTCGCCTAGTATACAATAGGTCGTGGGTTCTATCCTTACCCTGATGCCTGCTGCTGTATATTTGGAGTTTGTATGTCTCTTTCTCCGTAGTCGCGTGGAATTTTCTCCGGGTCCTCCGGTTTTTCCCTCCACATTTAGAATCAACATCATGCGCTTAGAGTATTTGGCTGCTATAAATGTTCACATGATAAGCCAACCTCATTCAACTCTCATTTGTGATAGCCAGGTCGCTTGTGAAAGAGAAATATGTAGCTCAGTGGGGCCTTACCTGGTAAAGTAAAAACATTTTTTAGTAGAAATTCGTTTCCACGTTGCTATGTAGTCTGCAGCAGTTTTGCTAGAGGGGGGCGATGGTACGATGTGTCTCAACCTTTTCCCGAGTCCGAATGGAATGCATACATTAACGCACCCCCCTCTGGCCATGCACCTGATTGGCTCACAGGTGAAGACATCACATTATCCCCCTGTCTTTTTAAGACCGAAACATCAGGATTTCTCCACAACTCTGTGCTGTCTGCCTGTTGATGCTAGTTGTTGTAATTACTGGCGGAACATCACGGTTAGTGCTCTACTAGTAAAGAATTGGCCACGTTTTGTTTATGTGGCAAACCTTAATTAATTGGCTGTGTCGGGTGGTGGCGGCGGATTTAACGACATTTATATTTATGCGATCTAACCCAAAAATCTATTATGAAAAATAACGGTTACAATAAAATATGGAAAACCATTTTTGTTGTGTTCAGTTTGTTGTCCATCCCCCCCACACCTCCGATTGGCACGGTTGGCCACGTATGGTGCAAAAGAAGTTCAACAAAAGAAAGACAAATAGAATCCGGAGGGGGTCAAAGTGGCCGTACGGCCCTGAGGTCAAAGCTGTCCCTTTGTGTACCGTATCTCTCATGTAGCCTGCTGCTGCAAGTGTGCATTGTATCATGTGCTGTGCATCGTGTACTGTGCTGTGCATCGTGTACTGTGCATCGTGTACTGTGCATCGCGTACTGTGCATCATGTACTATGCATCGCGTACTGTGCAGCATTCCACTGCATCGTGTCACCGTGTATCTTGTACTGTACATTGTGTATCTTGTACTTGCATTGTGTATCGTGTCCTGTGCATCTTATATTGTGCATCGTGTCACCGCATATCATGGACTGTGCATCATGTCCTGTGCATCGTGTACTGTGCACCGTGTCACCGTGCACCGTGTCACCGTGCACCGTGTCACCATGCATCGTGTCACCATGCATCGTGTCACCATGCATCGTGTCACCATGCATCGTGTCACCGTGCATCGTGTACTGTGCATCATGTCACCGTGTATCGTGTACTGTGCATCGTGTCACCGCGTATCGTATCACCGTGTATCGTGTACTGTGCATCGTGTCACCGTGTATCATATCACCGTGTATCGTGCACTGTGCATCGTGTCACCGCGTATCGTATCACCATGTATCGTGTATTTTGCATCGTGTTACCGCGTATCGTGTACTGTGCATCGTGCAATCGTGTGCCATGCGTGCGTTTCTTGCTTTCGTGCAGGTGAGAAGGTGGCCTTGTACGGCCGCTTGCGACGCACGCGATTGGCTGGTTCGTCTTCCTCTTTTAAATAGCCTGGCACGTGCGCCCCACACACACACACCATACACATTACACATCACGCACACACACACACTACACACACACACAACCAGATCATAGGCATACATAACATGGTTGACCAATAGGGAGCCATCCCTTGACTGCACCCAGGCATCAATCAGCCTCCCATTCTGTACCAGATGAAATTCCTCCGGTACAGCCATCAAAGGCTTTTTGAGGGATTTTGTCTCACTCCTCTTTGCAGATCTTCTCCAAGTCATTAAGGTTTTGAGGCTGACATTTGGCAGCTCGAGCCTTCAGCTCCCTCCACAGATTTTGTATGGGATTAAGGTCTGGAGACTGGCTAGGCCACTCCAGGACCTTAATGTGCTTCTTCTTGAGCCACTCCTTTGTTGCCTTGGCCGTGTGTTTTGGGTCATTGTCATACTGGAATACCCATCCACGACCCATTTTCAATGCCCTGGCTGAGGGAAGGAGGTTCTCACCCAAAATTTGACGGTACATGGCCCCGTCCATCGTCCCTTTGATGCGGTGAAGTTGTCCTGTCCCCTTAGCAGAAAAACACCCCCAAAGCATAATGTTTCCACCTCCATGTTTGACGGTGGGGATGATGTTCTTGGGGTCATAGGCAGCATTCCTCCTCCTCCAAACAAGGCGAGTTGAGTTGATGCCAAAGAGCTCCATTTTGGTTTCATCTGACAACACTTTCACCCAGTTGTCCTCTGAATCATTCAGATGTTCATTGGCAAACGTCAGTCTGTGCGGTACTTTCTTGAGCAGGGGGACCTTGCGGGCGCTGCAGGATTTCAGTCCTTCACGGCGTAGTGTGTTACCAAATGTTTTCTTGGTGACTATGGTCCCAGCTGCCTTGAGATCATTGACAAGATCCTCCCGTGTAGTTCTGGGCTGATTCCTCACCGTTCTCATGATCATTGCAACTCCATGAGGTGAGATCTTGCATGGAGCCCCAGGCTGAGGGAGATTGACAGTTCTTTTGTGTTTCTTCCATTTGCGAATAATCGCACCAACTGTTGTCACCTTCTCACCAACCAGCTTGGCGATGGTCTTGTAGCCCATTCCAGCCTTGTGTAGGTCTACAATCTTGTCCCTGACATCCTTGGAGAGCTCTTTGGTCTTGGCCATGGTGGAGAGTTTGGAATCTGATTGATTGATTCTGTGAACAGGTGTCTTTTATACAGGTAACAAGCTGAGATTAGGAGCACTCCCTTTAAGATTGTGCTCCTAATCTCAGCACGTTACCTGTATAAAAGACACCTGGGAGCCAGAAATCTTTCTGATTGAGAGGGGGTCAAATACTTATTTCCCTCATTAAAATGCAAATAAATTTATAAAAATTTTGACATGCGTTTTTCTGGATTTTTTTGTTGTTATTCTGTCTCTCACTATTCAAATAAACCTACCATTAAAATTCTAGACTGATAATTTCTTTGTCAGTGGGCAAACGTACAAAATCAGCAGGGGATCAAATACTTTTTTCCCTCACTGTAGGTCTTGTTGGAATTCCCTATACCTCTGCTGTAGTAGACGGACAAAACAAATGGTATCTGTGCAGGACTGCCCTTTCCTGAAACCGCATTGGGGCTCCGCAAGCCTCTCCTCAGCGTGCCTAGCAAGGCGATGTTGATAATCCTTGCCAGGACCTTTCCCGGCACACTAAGGAGTGAGATGCCCCTGTAGTTGTTACAGTCTGTGCGGTCCCCCTTCTTAAAGAGGGAGACCACCAGGGCATCCTTCCAATCCTGCAGAACCCGTTCAGTGGTCCAGACTGTTGTTATGAAGTCATGTAGGGTAGTCTGGTCTCAAACTCTGGATCACCCTCACAGATGGCACCTCAGCCAGCCACTCACAGGGGGTGACTTCTTCCAATATTTGAGGAACCGCAGCCTCAGCAGGGTCATTCTCACTTTGTCCCACAATGTTTTCCCAGCTGAGGGATTTCCCCTCCCCAGGACCTCACAGAAATGCTCAGCAAATCTGCAAACCTGTTCCTGGGGGTCGGGAGATTGGATCACCGTTCTTTCCTCTAATGATGGTAATAGGTGTGGTGCTGCAGTTTACTTTTTTGATGGAGTTAAAGAGCGATTTGTGATCACGGGCCACTGAGGCAGACTCCATCTCCTCAGCAAACCGCGACCACCACCCATCCTTGCAGCGCCTCACGGCTCTCCGAACCTCCGAGCGAAGGCCTCCTCATTCTCCGACGTGGAATGCTGTAGCGGATGAGAGTGGGCCTGTCGCTTTTTCTCAGCCAGCTTGAACGCCTCCTCTGTCAGCCAGGTTCTCTGGGGAGGTCTGGACCATGTACCCAAAACAGCCATTGCAGCTGCATGAGCCACAGTCTTAAACCTCGCCCATTTCCCCTCGACATCAGGAAGAGTGGGGGACGATGCCAACCCCAGCTGCAAGCGATGATGAAATTCTCGCTTACAACTTTCATCAGCTAGCTGACACCATGCAACTAAAGGTTTGAATGGGGTCCTGGGTGTACACCCACCACCGGAGTGGAAGAATGGTAGGCGCATCTTACAGATGACAAGTCGATGGTCAGTTGGCAGATCAGCTCCACGGTAGGTCCTGGTATCAAGGATATGGGCCCGCATCCGCTGTTCTGTCACTCCGTAGTCCAGCAGATGTTCTTGCTTGGACCCGACATGCATCCATGATGTGGTGTGGATGCCCCGATGCCAGAATAGCGTGTTGGTAATTACAAGCCCATGGGCTGCATAAAATTCTAGCAGCTTCCTGCCGTTGTTATTGAGCTGATCTGGCCCATGCCTTCCAATTACTCCAGACCAGGTGCCAGCATCATGACCAACTCGGGCATTGAAGTCACCCAACAAGATGACTCTATCCCAAGGGGCCACTTTAGCTAGCACCTGTAACAGGTCATAGAAGGCATCTGACTTATCGGCTTTGCCTGCATCCCTCCACGGATGTTCGTCTTCAGTGGGGGCATAAGTAACCACGACCACCACTCCCCGCCTCTGGTTGATGGGAAGGTGAGCCCAAAGTAGCCTGGGGCTTACAGCTTCCCACACCTCACCGCCACGCTCCCACGCCCCCTTCATTATTTTATTCTGAAGAACCACACCCTGTTGTTTGGCAGTCTCCTGTCCCGAGTAGAGGACTGTCCACCCCTCATGGTGACCGGAGCCAGAGCCGGTCCACCGGACCTCCTGAATACCACAGAGATCCAGGCGGTACTGGTTCAGCTCCCGACAGAGGAGTGGCAGCCTCTCCTCCGCATTGAGCGTTTGAACATTCCACATGGCCATACGCAGTGGTTTTGTGTTGTTTCTGGAGGAGCCCCGAGGGTAAGCATTCAGTCTCCTGGCTCCACCAAATGGGGTTTGGCAAGGAGACGTCATAGATGCCTGTCCCCCCGGGGCCTCCGGCACAAGCTTAATAAGTTTTTTGCAACGTAGTTTAGTGGTAGTTAATTGAAGCTGGAGGGGTTAACCAGCCCCTCGCACCCGTCCAGAACCCCCATTTGGCCGCTGTGGTGGCTACAAAAGTCATGAGGGGAAAGGCCAATATGAATTGGTCCTCCCCCCACAGCACTGCCCACGACAGCGTTGCCCGTCCGGCAACACGAGGAGGTAGGGGGTTGTTTTGCTGGACCGCACACACACACACACACGCATGCACACACGCACCTCTCTCCTGGCACATCTGTGTGGACGGGAAGCCGACCTCCCAGAAGTTCTCCGGTGTGTTAGGCGGCTGGAAGCGCCCCCGGTGACGTGAGCACTCGGTCATCTGGAGCACTCGCTCCGCCTCGGGAAGGTGCGAGTAGAACTGCCACCGTACACGTGCACAAAGACAAAGACCCCCCCACCAATGGTATAGCCTTAACAGACTGTTGGGGGCAAGTGCTGTTAGAGGTCGGGAAATTTTACACCGGGGCGGACAAAATCCCGATTTTTCACAAATTCTCTCTGGCCACCGGGGACACGGCCGCTGCGAACCCATGGGGACGGTCTCCGATTCCCCAACACATTACTGTGCATAGGATCAGTTTCTCCACGGGACAAACTACTTTACACAAGCGCCCACAAGATCGAGATGTCCATCACGGCCAGAAAGCGAAGCCGATTCTTCTTTCGTCGTTTTGATGCCAGCTAAGAAGGGTCCCCATAGATACTAAGTCCCCGAGAACTTTGACCGACAGTATGACAATTGTAGTATTGTTATTATAATCTAAAATATAAAAGTAATTTGTTGTCTGTCTGTGTGTGTCTGCCTTCATTGTATCACTTTAAACGGACAAACAATTGGGTTTAAATTTTAACTAAGTAGACAAATACAATAAACTAAGCCCTCAGATGAACGTTTGTCATGTTTTGCCCTTAGAGCAATGTAAACTAGGAACATCTAACTTTGTAGAATGTATGCTGATCGTAATGATAAATTAGAGCCCTGGCAAAGCACACATCGGCACATGTGTAGTGGAGGCAACACTTTATTCCAATAAACACTACAGTACAGCCTCAGTCTCACACAAGGGCAACGGCCCTTTCTGAATACCGCCTGGGGAGGTACTGCCTCATTGCCTCATGGCTAATGTGCCCTATCACGGGGCTACGGGCTCTGGGTCCTCCGACTACGGGTGCCCTAGGGGAGGCTGCACTGACCCGACCCAGCCAAGGTACGGGTCCCGACCACTGGCCCACTCGGACCCGGCCCTTACAAGAACATCAGGCCAGGGGTTCCCAGGGTCTCACCACTGGCCCACAGAGTCCCGGCCCTTACAAGAGCAGCGAGGCTAGGGGCCCAGGGTACTAGCTAGCTGGTCTTATAGCTTCTGTCTTGGACTGGCCCCGGACCCTTCCAGAGGTCTGGCTTTTATACACCAGCTCGGTGTGTCAGCCTCTGGCCCCGCCTACCTTCAAGAGAGTTCCAGGGGGGGTCCCGGGGGATCCTAGAACACCCTGCAGCCACCTCCCCTGCTTTGGGGCTGGGAATATAGCGACTGCCCCTGCTGGACCGTG